GTGAATCTTCAGCCCGAGTTCCCCACAAGCTACCCGGAAAAATCAGTCACTGAGTACCAGGATCTCATCTCGTATGATTTATAAAGAAGTGTTCTTGCTGAAAAATGGGTCCAACGTCCCAATGTGATTGTCTCAGAATCTATCAAGTTTGATTCACCAAGTGGTTTTGATATGCACTCTCAATTCTTCCAACCAAGTGTCTACTCAATAACTTAGCTAATTATTCCCTACGGTTGAGCAAAAGACCAGGACCATGACAAATTCGTGAAGTAGTGCCGCAAATAGAGCGACCTGAAACGTCGTCCACAGAAACTCGATAAATTATCCTTCAACTATAAAGTTTTACCAAGCCAAGGCCATAAAGTCGTCTTTTGCAACAATTTTGCTTATCATTTGAAGTGGTGAGTTTGTTATTTATTTTCCATGTTTTCAAGAGTCACATCGGGTATTTTCAAGTTATTTTCCTGTTTACAAGGATAATTAATCTAAACCATTTTCTGATTTGCATGCATCTGTCCTTTACTCGAAAGTTTTGTTATGAACAGAGCATTGTTCTTGGATTTCCATATAGTATTCATAATAATACCTCAACAAGTTTGTTCTATGTAACCCCAACTTGATTTGTAATTTCGTATATCAGGACATATCCTTGTTTGATCCACTCATATGTCCAAGAGAAAACATTTGTCGAGAAGGTTTGCAAGTGTTTTTTCCACCACTGCCAAATCTTGAGTGAGAATAGACAGTGCACCCAAACATATGTCGAGAATTCTCATGCCCAACGACACCTTGGGCAGGAACGCGGAACGTCCATATGTCTTGAGATCAACCATTCTGCAAATGATACTTCATTAAGGATCTGCATCCAGAGTAAGCTCGTTATTCTATGTTCCGGGAGATTTTTAAGTTGTTTCCATATATTATTTACATTTTCTACTGTCATTGTCTGAGGACACTTGGTTGCCCATCTTTTTACTACTACTGAGACTGACTTTCGTTGAGCTTGTTCTCTTTGTATTGTCACCCCTATCTTTGACTTGTACATTGATAAGGGTATGAAGACTCGTTCTGAACTCTCTTTCCATCCCTCGAGTTTTACTACGTATGTGTTAGTTGCCATACAACAGAAAAATTTCAACGAGAAATGTAAGTTGAAAAAGCATTCCATAAAACAAAAATTCTTCATATTTATAAATTATCATTCCAATGTTCGTCCAATTCTAAAATTTTCAGTTCTATTTGATAAGTTCCTTTCTAAATATGAGTTTTCCCTTCCAACTACATCTATTTGTTCAAGATAGAATGAAAATCTCGATGAGTTTATGAAATATTTTAATTAAATTTTCATTCTACTACAACAAATATCTTCTAATTTAGATTGGATTAACATATTTATGACTGAAAATCCACACTTGAGATGAAAGTCCAATTACAATATTTCATGAACTCATCCAGACTTTCATTCCATCTTTAGCATGCAGTCAAAATAAGAAGGGATACCCTATTCTTCGAATGAAAGTTTGCAAGTAAGATGAAAAATTTTAAAATTGGAATGACATTTTTTAAGATGAAATGAAAATTTGAAATTTAGATTGTAATTTTACTTTAGAATGATTATTTAATTCTGGGAAATTTTTCCGTTGTACCCCGTGTACAATGTTTTTTACCAATATTATCAAATTTAGAACAGACTTTGAACTCTGTTAGCTCTTTACAGTCTTGGTCTAATTGGATTCGTCTTTCTTCCACAAACTTCAAGGGTATATCCTGTATGAAAATGTTTGTAAGCTCTCCTTTTTGAACTCTGGTGCCCGTAGGAATATCTAAACTTATTACTCTCTATACACAATTTTCTACTACATTCTTGGACTTGCAAGTCTCCCAATCGTTTGGGCATGCGACTATAAACTTATTTAGATTGAAATGGATGTTGTGCAGTCTTAGTAGTTTGGACCTTAAAGTGTCTGCAGAGATCCTATCTTGTTTACTACAATCCCATATGTAACGAATTTGAATAACACCCTTATAACTCTAAGATTTACCAAATTTTTCCTTGGTGTCTCCTGCAACAAATTATGACAGATCGTCCTGCTGTAACCAATGGTTGTCAAATAAGGGTTAAAGTTAGAACTCTGACTTTGTGGCAGGTCTCTCTTTGGCATTGGGTAGCATTTTGGTCTATGCAAAGAGTAGGTTTTTTCATAATTTACTCTTAATAGGTATTTTTCTAGCAAATGTGATAATTTTCAAATATCTCCAGACATATATTGAGCAAGTTAACTCTCATTTTGCAGCAAGGATGTATTCAGCAACTTGTTTTCATAATTGGTGTTGGACTTCCAACATTCCTTTGATCGACCATTTTGAGAGAAGGGGCGTGTTTTGCAGCTTAGGATGAGGGATCCCTAAACCCCTTGGTCCCGTTTGACTGTGATTAATCTTCATGCAACCTTGGACATGAAACCTTTATATTCCCCAACTTTTGACTTCCATAGGTATCTCGCGGTCGCTCTTCGAGTCTTTATGGCATTATATGTTACTTCCCCGAGTAAGTGTATGGTGTATGAGAACCATAGGAAAAATAACTTCAAGGTTGTCGAGGATAAATAAGGCTCTTCCGAACAAGGAAAGGGAGTAATTTTTTTCCCAATTCACAATGCGGGAGATCATTTTGGATGTCGATATGAAATTTTGGGTCGCCGAAGCGTCTGTCAGCGAGATTTGGACCCCGAGGAAGCGTTTTAAACTTTGGATTGGTACTTACCGCATCCCCCAACCTGAAATCATTTGGTATGGGTCTGGCAAAATAAATACTGTTTGGTTCTAATTTATTGAAGCTTTAGATAAGTGACAATAATTTTTTAATATATTGTAGAGTTCATCGAGGGATTCCTTAGTATTAGTATATGATACGGTAAGATCGTCTGCGATGACACTAAATTTCCAATGAAGTGAAGGGCTTAGTCTCAGGCCAACTATAAAGTCATTAAATTTGATGTTGTCGAGGATGGTTTCTAATTGTAGGACAAACAGAAGCGGTGCCAGTGGACATCCCTGTCTGAGTGATTAAGTCAACCGAAACTCTTATGACAATCTGCCATTTACATTTACAACAACCGTTGCTTGGGAGTACATACCCTTAACCCATCTGTAAAAGAAAGATTCAAAGTTCATATGGTTAAGGGTGGTAGCTACAAAGGTCCAACCAACTTCGACGTATGCCTTCTCCATGTCGAGGAGCATTACAACCACCTCTCTTTTCATTGCTAATGATTTATAGGGTTTGCACCATGGTTAAAAATAGTTTTAAGTATGGATCTGCTTTACACTAAAGCCCCTTATTCGTCGTTTGTTAGATGTGGTAAATATCTTGCTACCTTCTTCCCCCAAACATAACGCATATACGTTATAAACAAATATAACATAGGGTTCGTTCTATTCGAATACAACGCATATATGTTATTTTTGATTTTTTTTTTAATTCGAAAACTCGAATACAATGCATATGCGTTATGGTTGGGGGGAGAAGGGTAGTCTTAGGGCTAGGGTGTTATCGAGTAATTTGTATGCTACGTTCAACAGTGAGATCAGTCTCTAATTGCATACGTCTCTTTTATCCCCTTTCTTATATAATAATGAGATGATCCCTTTGACCCAGCCTGACGATAGTTGTTCGTGTATTAGTCGGATGTTGTAGACCCGGAGGAGGAATGAGCATGATGAATCTCATATGACCGCAAATAGTTATATCGGTAAACCATATAGGCCAGAGCCTTTCGCTTGTAGCGATTCAAAACATTGAAGTTTAAGGAAAGGTCAGTTTCAAAGTTTTTTTTTTGTCTTCGGGTGGTGAGGATGTCTTTGAAGTATTCTACAACGTAGGAATACATGTCGACTATGGTAACTGCTATTGGGGCATCAACAATAAAGGGGTGGGATAGTTCATGCATCAGGGGGTTGGTGCTTCTTAAAAAAGGGACCTAAACGTGATTTTTGTCTTTCTATTATAACCCATGATTCCCCTGATCTTAAGCCAGTCAATCCACAATTCTTGTCTTTGTGTTTCCAAAGTCTTTAGCTCTTGGAGAAAAGACTTCCTAATTTTATATCAATAGCAGTCTACATAGGCGTCTCTTCCCAAGTTTGCTTCAACCACTAGAATTATATTCCTTATTTCCTGTACTTTAATGATGTGATTGCTTGCCTTTATTTAAGAAAAAATATTTAACGCCGAGCGGGGCGCGACACCACACTGGAAATGAAAAAAAACGCAGCTATTGTTTAGGGCGCATCTGCCCATGTTCTACCGGGAGGTTCATTCTGATTTTGCACATTTCGAGAGTTGTGACTTGGGGGGGGAAGCAGTGTCTGACGCCCTCTCTCTCTCTCTGTGAACCTCCCACGAGAATGAATCTTCCTCTTTATAGAGGGTTTCAATGGCTTTTTTGTTTTTTTTGCAGAATGTTGTATGTTTTTTTTGTGTTTTTTTGTGTTTTTTCTTTTTTCGTGTACTACCATACTACCCGTTGTCCGAGGCTCGGGAATGATCGGGCTACCGGTAGTCTGAGCCTCGGACTTGATAGTTGGGCGAGGTACTGGTGGTTCAAAAAGTATCCCTGTTCCTCCTTTGGTGCCATCTGCGGGGGCCCAAAATTGAGGGCCCCCCCCCACCATTCTTGTGCCTGACTACTTTTATGCTGATCTAGGGGTTTCAAGTACTGGTGGCTTATTCGGGGTTCGAATCCAGGTCTACCGGTACCTTTCGTCCCCCGAGTACAACGTACGGTCATTATAGCCTGTATATTGAGGCATCTTTCAGTCTAGAAAACAGCTATAATGACCGACCGTACGTTCTATTCGGGGGAAGCAGGTGGTTATATCACCAGTTACATGTGTGGACGGGCAGCATTATCTTCCAACTAATCGCAGCCTCACCTGCCGGACTGGAGTCGTGAGCGCGAACCGCCGTGCGACCGTGAACCGTTGTGATCGGGGCGGGGTGGGGTGCTGAGGTGTCCCTTTGAAAGAATGTGACGTGGAAACACTAGAGAGGGGAACCTAAGGCGGGCCAAAAGGTCGGAAAAAGTTGGACAGAGGGGTACGCACACAAAATACCCACAAACGTAACCCCCCCCTGCCCCTCCCCTCCAAACCACGCACAGATGAGTCGGTGAAAGTCCTATGAAACAAGTCTGGTACAGTCATGCTCCCCTTTTTTTTTAATAATTTATCTGTAATTTGGACCATTTCTCGATTTATGCGGGTCATCCTTGCGCAGGGCCATGCTATCGTAGTCTTTTTTTTTTTTTTTTTTTTTTTTTTTTTTTTTTTTTT